TGGGGAGGGCGTAATGCAGACACAGACAAAATATGAGAGGAAAAAGGCGGGCCAGGGCGAGGGAATGGGGTTTTAGAGGCTTTCGGATAGCCCGGACAAATGGATTGTGTACAATTACACCGGCTTTTCTTCATTCGAGCGCTGTCTGAACTGTTCGCCTGACCATATGAAACAATTTAGGGGTTCGATTGGAGAAGTTCTTACACGGTCATTAGGTGCTACTTGCCAATTTCAATGAGTACCAATTAACGACGTAGCTCGCATTGTGTCCGACGATTTTGTTATGTGCTCTCCCAAGTTAAATGGAATAAATGTGTTCCGTTTCAAAAAATAATAATGAGAGTGAATTCTACTTTTTACCCTGTAGTTGTACATTTCTGACACATATTACCTCATTTAGTGAAACTTCTATCGAAATATCAGACTTTGAAGACTTTTAACACGGTTTTACCTTGGTTTTGCATTTTTCTAGATAGGAAAGGCTTGTTGCGTCAATGATTCATAAAAAATATGTAAAGATCGAAGGGCATCATTGACGATCATCTTCAGATTTTTCTTGTCCATCTGTTTCATTCCTCCTCCTCATCCACATATTATTGGACCTCGAACGTCACCTCACACCTTGCCTGATGGACACATGTCAGAAAACAACGATTTGAAGCTTCCAAAAAGGGTATTATAGACGAATTTTCACTCGATCGGATAATTAGTGTCTCAAATGTACAACTACAAGGTAAAAAGTGGAATTCACTCGAGAAAAAGGAAAAATCAATGGCAACAAATGGCGTACTGTACCCCCATGTACGTACGCGATCACATGGAGCACACAGCGGCACTGGTCCTACGACTACGAGCACACATCGGAGTGTCGGAGAGAGACCACTTCCCTTTGGCATCTCTGAATCGAAGTTTGAATTGGGTTGCCCCGCCTGCCTGCTTCTGATTCCCATGTTCGAGCCCATCATCCGTTGTCCTATCTGCACATACACGCATAACTTGGGCTGCTGCGGTGTCATTCAGCGAACCTACCCAGCTCACCAGGCTGCAAAACGAACCAGCTCGAACTCTGAAAAATACATTGATTAATAACCAGTAAAAAGTTCGGCTCGGTTCTTTTGTTTTGCTGGTTTGGCTCGGTAACAATTGTATCATGCTAGGAAAATTAGAATTATGCAAGGTTAACCTGTGTGCAACTGAGAAGGACTGAAGAATTGAACTACTCTTTCCGTTCCTAGAGAATTCAATAAGAGATTACATACGGAGCAAAATAAGTGGATCTACACTCTAAAATATGACTATATACTCCCTCCGTAAACTAATATAAGAGCTTTTAGATCACTACTTTTTAGTGATCTAAAAGCTCTTATATTAGTTTACAGAGGGAGTACATCCGTATGTAGTTTGTACTGAAATTTCTAAAAAAGACTTGTACTCGCTCCGTCTCATAATGTAAGACCTTTTTTGACAGGGAGTATATACAACATGTGTAAGAGAGTGATGCTCGTGTTCGGTTAGCCAAGTTTATACTGTACTTGCACTTGATGAATGTCTCGATGGCGCTGAATAAAACAACCATTCAACAGCACCAGCTACCAACTGTTAGTCGACCATTACTCACTAGTCACTACTGCTCACTGTCAGCAGAGCAAACGCTCGAGGACTGTTGCTGTATCACGTGTCAGGATATGATACTCTGCGGTAGTCCTGAAGCCGCACAGTCAAGGAAATTTTCAACTAGATGGATCGCCAATCCTGCATGGAGAAGGACTCTGAACCCGCACATGCCATAGCACCATCGCAATTTATATACACAAGTAGAGAGGGACTCCTGATGGACAATTTAAGTGCTCCAACCAAGTTAAAAGACAAGCAAAATCGGCTCGTTTTCCGCCATATAGCAAGGAAGCAACCTTGACATCAGAAGCAGGGCAACGGAAGGGCTCTGGCGTGATCAGTCAGTAGGAAGAAGTTGAGTGTTTGATTTCCAACAACGTCGGAGCGCTCAATCGCGGGGCTGCAGCCTTGATATGTACTCGTCATACAGCTTCGCTGCTCCCTCCAAATCGCCGAGATCAGCGCAGCAGTCGGCTATCGCGCCGTAGGCCTCGGTGCAGCCAGAATCCTCGCCGGTCTCCTTTGATAGCGCCAGAACCTTGTAGTACCAGCTCATTGCTTCTCTGTACTGTCCCAACCTTTGCAGTGATGCGCCTAAGACAATAAATACCAAGCAAAATGAGGCGTCACAGTGGTTTGTTTACCAACAAACAATTAAGGTTAGTCTAAGCTGTCTCTAAATGAAGCACATGGCAGAAATCTGAACAAACACACACACATGGAAAAGGTAGGTACATACAGATGTTCAAAGGGGACAGAGAAATGGTAATGTTTTCCAAGGGCATCGAATTTCTGTTATGTAAAAATGGAGAGTGCATCAATTCTAGGTCGATATAAATCTTGCTACTATACTTCAAATCAGTACTTGCTTAAAAGTAATTCCTGGTATATGCAAAAGTGAATGCCCCAAATTATGAAAGCAAACATACATGCAGATAAGATAATAATCCTCTCATGCACAGCTAAAGTGCAGAATCCCCATCTATTGGGACAAATAGGATGATGTTTTACTTACAAGTTTATTACTCTACGTGCAATTGCTCATTATGATTCCGTGCACTACAGAATCTATTCAAGTATGGAGCAGGAATACAATTGCTTGCAGGAGTAACTTAAACGTAAGGATGGGGAAAATGCAACCTAGCTGAAACAAAATCATACATTACACTTATTTCTTGGGATATTCAGACATTCTGCTATTCTACAAGTTAGTCACCAACACTGTAGCGGCCTAACCACAGAATTATACTTACAATGGTGGAGGGTCAGTATTAATTAAATGCACTTTTGTTTATCAGTGAACAAAAACAATGTGATGCATGATTTTGATTATCAGGAACGGGAAGAAATAAACCTAATCCCCGCGCAGCTTTCTTCTCCTCAAAGCGATCCCCTATGCTTTCTGCAAGCTCCAGAGCCGTCTTGAACTCCACTACCGCCTTATCAAGGTCCTGATTCCTCATATAATTCTTCCCATTTTTCAAATTTACCACCAACTGCTGCTTCCTGGGATCAACAATAACCTCAATTTCTCCTGCTCTCCCTACAGGCGCATAAGTAAGGCCAGGAGCAAACGATTCAATCTGCGCCTGCCTTCTAAGAGCAGTATTAATCTGACGAAGTTGATTGTTCAATCGCTTCAGTTCGTCCTTTCTTTGCCGTGCTAATAATCCTAGAATGTAACATCGGAGAGGGAAAAAAAATAGCACAGCATGAAACGTCTCTCTTCATCAACTATACATAATAGATACTATCAGTTATGCCTGTGGGCATTGGTTTGAGCGTCTTACCACCCACGGCAGCTCCTATTAGAGCGACGGCAATGAAAATCGGCATATTGGCAAAAGAACTAGTTGGTTGACATGTCTCAGCTGATGCCTCAAGAGGCATTATGAGCATCGACATTGTTGAAAGAACAGCAGTTTTCAGCAGGCTAGCATGCGCAGTTTTCTGCAGGCATAGATTATACAGGCAGATAGTAAAGCACAGTCAATAGCAGAGCTGCATCACAACGTAACGGAAAAAACAGAGTAACAACTAACAACATAAGTAAAGAATGTACATTCTGAACATGATTGTGATTCACTCTTGAAATGCTACCACTAAAAGTTGCTTCAAAATATGATGGCTGTGTTCGCTGTGCTCCCACGCAAGAACATGGCGCGTCTCCCTCGGGCGGGAGAAACCTCGTTTATTTTAGCTGCCCAGCAGATTTTTTTTTTTACCAATGCCTGGAATTGGAGTCCCTATCTATCCCACAGTCCACAGCCATGTTCATAGACTCTCACCAAGAAACGCAATGCTCTATTTGGGTGCTTGGGCATCAGTTCACTAACTCTACAGTTTACACCATGACTGAATTCATTTGGTTATCTTGAGTCCATAGCAACCCAAACCCCAAAGAATCGTTCGTACCTGGTGATCAGCAAGGATTAGCCCGAGCGCGCGCGTCATCTGCCACGCCTCCCCATTGCTGGCATCGAGGTGCGCGAAAACGCCGCCGCCACCGCCGCGAGCCCGATGAAGGGGCAGGGGACCGAATCGGAGCGGAACCGCCGCGTCTGCTCCCACATGGAGACGGCGGCATGAATAAATCGATGCGACGCTATCAGAGTGGCATATATGTATAGTAGAATCGGGAGCGTTAAGAGTACGAGGGGCTCACCGCAGAGACGGCCGACGCCGGCGACACGGACGGGTAGAAGAAGAGAGGGACCGGGAGGGCGTCGGTAAGGGTGGCCGGCGCGGCGGTGGGCTGCCGCGCCCCGGTAAGAGGCCGCCGCCTGCATCGCCGGCTCCGGCGGCGCCTCGCGTTGGCTAAGCGGCCGTAGGTGTGGAAGAGTGGGGAACTGGGGGATGGTGGTGTCACGTGACACGCGCCTGCTGAATTGGAACGGCTTGGGAGGTGTGAATGGGCCCGTGGGCTGTGGCACATAGTTTCAGTTCTACCTCCGTCTTTGACTTGCTAGCCGGATAATCCTATTCGAACGCATTTTTTTTAAGAAACACTAACTTTATTAATAGTCATAACAATTACAGGTACACTGATGTGAACCTAAGATCAAAGAAATACAAAGTAACTCTTATGGCTAAGACTTAAAATAAAATCTCTTGTAAACACCTTATTTGCGGTATCAATCTTTGCTTGAAAAAGTACTCCAAAGACTTTAGTAAAGAGTCCGCAATTAGACGCATATAGGTACCTACTTAGCGACCGAGCGCATAAACCCGCAGGCGTTATGTACATTTTGGGCCGGCTCGTTCACTTTTTTCGGTTCTGTACCGGTTTTTTGTGTGTTCTTTCTTATGGTATTTTTTCGCCCTTTACTTTATTTTTCAAGTTTTTGTATTTTTCCCTGTTTGTTCTTAATTTTATTTTCATTTTTACTTTTTATTAATTGTTTATAAATCATGAATATTTTTCAGATTCGCCGACCATTATTATGAAATCATGAACTTTTTCCAATTTGTGAACATTTTTTTTACAAATTTATGAATATTTTTTTGAAAACCCGGAACATTTTTTGTGAATCGGCAAACATTTACTAAAATTGGGGAAATATTTAGGAAATTCATGAAGATTGTTTTTCTTTGACGAATTGTTTTCAATTGCATGATTATTTTCTATATTGATAAACTTTTTCTGTAATTCATAAACATTCTCTGGATTTTCAAATGCTTTTTCAGAAATCATGAACATTGCCGAATTCACAAACATCTTTTAAAATTCACTAGCATTTTCTTAATACACAAACATTTTTCCAAAATCGTGAACATTTTTTAATTTCCCAAACATTTTTTCAAAATCGTGATCATTTTTTGAATTTGCAAAAAATGAGCACACGGTCATTTTATGATTTGTTGCATAAAAAAAAGGCAGTTTAGAACTTTTTGAAATATGTAATTATCTCTACTATTTAAGAAGAACGTAAGGTTCCCATTTCACCTTTATTCCCGCCACCCCTTCGTCCAGCCTGTATGATAATCAATCACCTTAATTTACTTACCTTCTGAATCAATTCCACTTTTTTTCGAAATGGAGGCAAAAGATTTGCCTCGTCGATTAATTAAGAAGAAGAGAATTTCCCGGTTAATTAACAGAAAAACGGGTGAAAACTGATACATATAGATCATATGCGGACTACTCGCTAAGAAAGAAACTCCATGGCCTCACGGTCAACCCAACAAACGTACCTAACACGCAACAACCACAAACCCTCGCACTTCTATGTCGCAAAGAAACCCTCAACAAAACCAATGTTGAATACATCAGACGCCAAGAAATCCACATAGACGAGCCACTCGGAGATGGAGAACGAAGAGACTGAGTATCCTCCATTAAGCAGCCGCAGACGCCTTATCAATGGCGCCACTCTTCTTACCTATGTTTCTGAGAGCCTTCTTCACCTTCTTTATTTTGCCTATAGAAACCTCATCCACTAGGAGGCAAGCAATCACATTGCGAGACCCAGGACAAGTTGCCTCCAAGGAGGCGAGCAAACGGCCAAGCTTTTTCACGAAGACCACCTCGTCAATACGTGCCAACATAGCGTCACTGTCAAAAGATGGGCGACCGAATAGGCTTCGGCGCCTCAGAAGTAGCTGTCAAAGCACCTATCTCATCAACCTCGGCACCCACGGATGCCACCTGGGCAACAACCTCAGGTGAGAGAGCAACAGCAACGTCCAAACCTCCACGGTCCACATAGGCGAGTGGCTGACTGGGCTCCAACGACAATGGTGAGGTCGCAGTCGGCATCGCCAAGTCCCCTCCAAGCGACCCCATCTCCTAAGGAAGCACCGTCGAAATAGGCGAAGTGGGTTTCCCACAAAGTTTCTGCAACTCAGGCATGATCTGCAGCACCGGAGCCACGACCTCGACAACGGCTTCCCTCCCAGAAGCAATCGGCACGACGGGTAACGGCAACCAACAAGATGTAGCACGAGGGGAGAGATCTCCATACATGCCTGCTTCCCCATCGGTAGAACCAACCAGGATCTCAGGGGACGAGAACAAATCAGGGGCAACCCCAATCTGAAACTCAGGTAGCGAAGACACATCCGGCACCACCTCAAGTTTGGCGAGAGTGGCCTCCGCTCTCACCAAAACACTCCCGACTCGCGCAACGCAGTCACGAAGCTCAGTGCGAAGCAGCTCGGTCTCCTCCGCCAACCCGACTTGCTGAGCCGAGACAAACTGGAACTGCACGTCTGTCATGGAGACATCACTGGTGGATGGAGGCGGTGGAGCATGACATTGGGCCGGTGAAGCTTGGTGGACATGCTTCTTAGCACAGCAGAAGCGGGCGATGTGCCCAGATCGAAGGCAGTTCGTGCATCGGATTCGATCCCTGCAGGAGTGTGCATAGTGACCTCAACAGAGGCATAGGAAACACATGTCTCTCAACCACGCCAGCGGAGGACGCCACATATTGATAGCAGGGCGATGGAAAGGAACGGAAGTCGAGCGGCGCCCTCTCGAGACAAGCTGCCATCCCGCCAATGCATTTCCACTTGGAGCTTGAGACACAGGGGCTTCCGGCGATGCCTCGCGGTCGAAACATCCTCTCCAATCTCCCCAACCTGGACGCACTGGAGGCGCCTGAATGACGTGTCCGTCGCCCGCAACAGCATCGTGGGAAGTTACAGCAGTGGGCACTCCGTTGTCCTCGTCCGAAATGGGGCCATCAGAGGCAGCTCCCTGAAGGCTGTTGTATCCAGCAACAACGACGGCCGGCGTGGTACGCGTCGGAGTTGCCAGGACCAGATCGGACCGGGCCGGCATCTTGGTTGTGGAGGGAAGCTTGCGTGAGGCAAAGCGTCCCCGCACTGCCGGGTCGGCCTTGCGGGAGGCGAGGTAGGCTGCAGCGACGTCTTCGGCAGAGGGCGACAGCGGATGGGCTGGGGCAGCGCCGACAGAAGGAGCCTGAGAGGCCAGTATCATTGGAGCGGGAGCGTCGACAGGAGCAACCGAGGTGGCCTCCACCGCCCGAGCGGGGTCGCTGGCAGGAGGAGCCGGAGAGGCCCGAGCGGCTGCCAACATTGTAGCGGGGAGGACATCGACTAGAGGGGTCGTGGCGGCCGCCGATGTTGGAGCGTGGGGAGCCATGACAGCTTGACGGACGGGGAGGAGAGCTGGCGGAGGAGAGAGAGCACGCGACGGGGATTCCGAATCTGGTCTCACTGGACGCGGAGCAGGCCAGAGCCAGGAGATCAGGCTGGCGACGGCCGCGCGGCCACGCGCGCGAGCGCTTTCGCCATAGCTCCACCGAGATTTGTTTTACCTTGTTCAATTCCACTTTAATATACTTACTAAACTTCTGATCAAAATACAAGGTAATTCACAGCCAGAATTTAATGAACATTTATTTACACAATCGTATTATTATTGACAGATAAATCACAAGCTAACGTACTAGAATATTTCTATCCCATTGTAATGTATGGGCATTGTTCTAGTTTAAAGAAGAAAAAACAGGAAAGCAAAAAAACAGGGCGCCACACACATGAACCGGCCAAAAGAAGCGCGCGGAGGAAGGGGGGTGTGCACTGGCACGTTCGCCGATGCCTTGCGTGCCAAATAGGAGGTCCCTTACTGGCCCGCTCGTATTTTGGGTCATATTTTGACAATGATTTCAACTAATATAATATAAGTTATGCGTAGCAAAATTAATATCATTGAATACTATCTTCAATTATGAATCCAATAATATATTTTTTCTATGACATGCATAAACATTTTTCTAGTTAAATATGTGGTCAAACTTTTTTTAGGGGAAAAAATGTGGTCGAACTTTGATCCAAAATCCGATAGGTACTAATAAACACATATAGAGGTAGTAATACCACGTAAGGAAATGGAGGACGTAGATGACATAGATAGTTGAGAAAGAGAGAGTGTATTTTTACTTCCGTAGAAAGTCTCCTTTTTACGAAAAGGATTAAAATCTATTATAAAAATTCATCGAAAGTACAAAACATCTCAAACATAATAAAAATTAGAAGAACGTCCGTGTGTTGCAACGGGGCCACATTAATTTTAAGAGTTCAATATTAATATCATACATATCAAGTGACATTGGCGATCTTTTTGGCCATCAAATCCTCACACACACACACTCTCTTCCTCCCTCTTCCTCACTCTCTCTCCTCCTCTCCTTCTCTCTCTCTAACACACACACACCCATCTTATTAGGTAAGGGACCATAATTCATCTATTTCACACACACACTAGTGCATAACAATATGGATCATGTGTATTATATTTGCCACCACAACTAAGGGCCCGCTTCCAAATGCGTCTGCGCGCCGCCACCCACGCCGGGTCTTTTAAGTGCCGCTTCCACCGCACCAACTCCCAGGACCACGGCAACGGCCAGGGCCAGGGAAGCCGCCCTTCTTCACCCCCTTCACTGGTCACGGCCAACGCGGTGCCGCGGCACCCGGCCTCGCCGTCCTCGTCCTCCGGCACCATCGTGACCCAGTGACGTAGCGCAAGCATCGGCCTCGAGAATCAAGAACTGTAACACCCCAAGAATCATGCTACAGTAACTCCACACTAATGATTCCAAGTAATCATCATTATGCCCTAAGAAAAACAATTAAGAAATATTTAAACATCAAATTCAAATTTAAAGTTAAGTTAAATTATTATTTATCCAAACAGAGAATAAAAAAATGTTCGAGTTGTTGCATATATTCACTAAGTAATTTTCATGTAGAAAAGAACATCATTTTACTCACCAATTTAATCCCAAGTAAAATATAAAGGACCCGACAACAACTAAAA